TTTATGCTATGCTAAGCTAACCAGCTGCTGGCTCCAGCTATATATTTAGTGTAAAGATATGAGTTGTATAGAGTCATCCAGCTCTTATCAAGAAAGTCTATGAGTCCATTTCCAAAAATGGAAAACTATTTATTTTACTGCTTTCTACCAGCTGTAGCTTAACAACTGGCCTTTTTCCTATTTCTGCAACCAGCATTTGCTTAAAGAAGGAATATTCTTTTCAAATTACCCCAACAACAGCCTCACACTGGTTGTCAGTCTTTGCAGGCGCTAGACTCCTCGCCCTTTCTGCTTTCTCTCTCTCCTCCTCAATCACTTCTTTCAGGATGTCGTCAATGTCTCTGGTCTTTAACTGTGCTGTCTGTGTCAAAGCCTCCTCAGTGCTGATCTGGAAGTCTAATAACTGACTACGGGGTGAGGCGGTCATACTGAGGTTCACAGGTTCAGCTTGTGGACTCGGCTCGTTTTCTTCCAGGGTGACCTCTGGCTCTGAAGAGTGAGTGCCCTGGAGCTGTGAGGTCTCTGCAGGAGGAACGTGTGGCTGCTGGGGGAGACTGCTCTCCCGACCGGGGGGTAAAGTGGTCTTTGAATGTGGTGGTTGTGCGACAGCAGAAGCTGGGACAGCGGATGGCTCCACCTCCTGAGGATGAGTGGTATTTGACGGGGCTGCAGCTGACTGAGGCGCAGCAGCTTCTCTCCACTCAGTGACTTTGTGTGTGGGTTGGGACACATGTTGCTGACCTGCTGCAGCCTGGGTAACCACAACAGGGACATTAACCTTGTAAAGTTGACCTTAGTGAGACAAAGGGGAAGAGTGGAATGTTTTTTTTAACCCATGAGTACATGTTCAAAACTAAAACCGATTTATGCCCATAACAGATATAGTCGATGTGTACCAGAAGCTGTTTGTAGAGTGACTCCGGCTGGGATCTGCACAGGGTAAGCTAACCCAGCAGGGAGAGAGAAAGTAGCAAGTGTCTCTGAGTTGCTCTGCGATGAAACAGGAAAATATAATTCAGCATCTCAAACAGTAATAATTTATAGAAATCTTCACAAAACTTTACTTTGGGATCATCCATTAAACAGACAGTGTTTGAGAGCATTGTAATTCCAACATGATACTGGCCTCTTTAATCTATTGATAACCTTCAGGTCAACAGGTCTGCCCCACCGCTGTCTCGTCAGACAAATGAAGTGAATGTGACAATGGAGGCAAATAACAGCCATAATAATTTGAATCTTATAAGAAATTGATCTGTGACATTTAACCACTGGTGAATACTTATTGTTCAAAACTGAAATGCTGCCTAATACATAGCAATTAAAGGTCCAGCGTGTAACAATTAGAAGGACCTGTTGAAAGAAATACAATATAATGCGCATAACTATGTTTTCAATAGTGTGCAATCACCTGAGTATAGGAATCATTAGGTTTTTTGTTATCTTAGAATGAGACGTTTATATATACAGATGCAACAGGTTGCCTAACATGGAGTCCGCCATGTTGCACCACCATGTTTCTATAGTAGTCCACAAGGGACAAACCAAGCACTGCCACCTTAGTTTTTCCTTCTCGCTTGGAAGGAGCGGATGAAGTGATGAAGTGAGAAGCCCCTGACTGCAGACCCGCAGACCTCAATGTGGGCGGAGTTAAACGTTTAACTCCGCCCACATTGAGGTCTGCGGGTCTGCAGTCAGGGGTACATGGGAGAAAGTTGCAACTACACCACTAGATGGCACTACATCCTACACACTGTACATTTAAATGTTATACTACGACAACCATCCAGCTAAATTTATGTGGTTTGAATTTAAAAAATTCACAAATTTAGATTGAAAATGTAAGTGTCCAAATATATATTCATGTTGATCAAATACAAATAGTGAGATTCTGAGAAAAATCAAGACTGAATGTCATCAAACAGGATTGTCACATGATCTAAGTGGGGGAAAAAACTGGAGGATGGAGGATGAAGTATCAGGTATGAATTCTTCCTCTTGAATCTGGTGTGTAAAATATACAATTCCAGTTAAAGTGACATGATTTTTTGACTTGACTTTGTTTTTGGATCAGAATTTAAATAGATTTTCAATTAAAATACATTTAAATGTGAAAATTATGCATGTATTATGACTATTTTTTGCTTCCATATATGCCCCTTGTATAAACAGCCATTACGGGCTCAGGAAAGGTTGTGTGGATTTTGATTACACTTGCCTTGAGCCTTGGGAAACTGTGGATATTCTGACTTGCAGGAATCACCACTGAGGCTGGGAGCAAAATCAGAGCAGAGCAGGTGATGCAAAAATCAAAAGAATGAGTGCCCCTTCTCTCTGAATCACTTGAGTTAGTGCACTCATACCACAAATATACAGATTAGAGCTCATCTGCTAAAGAAAATGGGTACTTTTAAAGTAACTGGACAAGCTGTATTAATGGACAGTGTAATTAGATATGTTTGTGTTGTCAGAAGCAGCACTGTGTTACCGGTGACTTCTTGATCCGTCTGACTGTAGTTGGTAGGGAGCTGCAGCACAAAGTTGGATGAGTTGATATTGTTTTTCCTGAAGTCTTCCATTGCTTTTGACTGCATCATCTTTGACTCCCAAAGCTGCACAGCAGAAGACACAGCAGTCTGTCTTCCTGGTATGGTGTATACTTCCTCACTAGATGATCTAACTTTGCTGTAACTGACAACTTGAGTCAAGATGCGCATTATATGTATTTTATTTAAATTGAGCCGGGTTCTGTAGAATATAACTCACATGTCTCAAATCGTCCAGGACGCGGTCTTCAAGGCCTTCATCCAAGAAGAGCTCCCTCATACTCTCAATCACATCATCAATTATGGACAAGTAGAGTTTGGCCTGCAGTTGTTTACAGAAAACTGCAAATCAGAAGGTGCTAAGCTGCTTGTGAGCATTCATCCCAGCCAGTTTGTGTATGTTTTTGTATGTTTTTGTGAACAACATACCAAACTCCATTTAAATATTTGCCTTTTTTATGTTGCTAACTGTTGGAAAATGTAGACTGGCATACCTATGACTAACTCAGGTCATTTTTTAACATATCAAAGTCACTCATCATTTCGGGTTACATATAATGCATATTTGTATTTATTTTGTAGCTAAAACTTTAATTTCAGAATAGATTTATGATAGAGACGTAAACGCTGTTGATACCGTTTGAGAGTTGGCGACATAGTAATCGATATGTGACCTAATTGATACATTTTGAGGGATTTGGCTCGACAACATGGCGAATTAAACTGCACAGAGGTATTCCGACTCAATAGCTTGAGGCTCTGAATAAAACTGCGTATATTTGAATCCAAATTGCGTTTTCAGGGAGCACATTTATTGGGCTACTTCACGTACACACAGGCCAACACACAACACAATCGACAACACACATTTTGCTATTAGTTAGCCTACAGCGAAAAGCTAAAAGGCAGCTTTGCTTACCACTGGGCCTGTGTTGGTCAGCATGATTTAGGGCGAAAATAACTGCAGTCCGGTAACAATAGACTTTGGAAACATAATACATACAGTTAACAGTCAGATAGTTTTGCCCGCTCCAACTGGATGTGAAGTGCCCACACAGGTGACAGTAATCAAGCTCCTCAGAGAGATGTGATTGGACAGAAAATAGTCACGTTATATATTGTATTACAGTAAGGATAGCATATATCTTTATCGTAGTCTCAGTTGATAAAGGAAGATAAGAGTTTAGGCTCTCTCATTGTGTATTTATTTCGCATGTAACATGTTCACCAAACATTTTATGCCATTTGTTAAAAACAGTGAGAAATGCTGCCCATCTGTCCCAGCTGGGTGTCACCTGTAAAGGGTGAGGCCACCTTACAACCACCCTCAGCTGGGCTCAATGTTGAATATGGCTTCAGCACCTTAAAGCTTAGTTATTAGTATCTCACCTCTAGCATTGTGGTTTTAGAAAGAGAGACTGTGGCTGTCCAATCCCTCAAACATTTCTGTCCATTTCCAGCTCTAGTTTTCTGGCTATTTTCAATAGAAAGGTTATTCAGTTGCATTTTCCACAGCGCTGGGAGCTCAGAGCAGTCTCTGATCCCAAGAGTGCACAATGCCAGGAGTTAAAAATATTTCACCCTTTACAAAAGACTTCATTTTGAACTTGGTGTTCAATAGATCCATGGCAGCAGCAGCAGGAGCCGTGACCCCTGCTTCCTCCAAGCATCTGTTTGGTGATGCTGGCTCTCTTTCAACACTGTAGGTTGACTCTTCTGATGAGGAGGAGAGTGCTGCTGGTGGAAAAGCAGCAACACGAGACAGCCCTGTGGATACTGCAGTACTGACAGACACTCAGCTGTCACCTCACGACCGAGTACTCTAGAGTCAGACAGAAGCTCTCCTGGAATTATAAGATGATGCTCTCTTTATTCCCATATGTATTCCCCATGTTATGTGGCGTCTATTTTATCAGCCCATACTTCAGAGATTGAAAATAATTCATGTAATGGAAGCCCTGAAAATATACAAACACTGCCCCCTATGGTGAGCAATCAAAACTTACAATAGAGGGAAAATAATCAAAACCACATATGGTTACTAATATAATTCTGAGAAATACAAAGAACAGTAGATTGAGACAGAAAGATTGAGTGTTTTCTGATCTAATCCTGATCATACAGCATAAATGAAGTCTCCACATATAAATAGCCAAATATCATAAAACCTTATCATATCACCACAGGGTCCACTGAGAGAACTGTGGCATTAAAAAACAGCAGCACTCATATGAAACACTATTGTTGCATGTGAAGTTTTGAGTGCATGACTGTCAGCAGCGTGTTCCCAAAGAGCCACATTCAATCCAGGATAATATACTCCACTCTCCTGTACTGTGTGCACTATTACAGTTCATAATATAATACTGTCACACAGCACGCGGCACTTTAAAAAGATCCTTTGCTACCAATCACATGGCATTTATTGAGCATTACTCACTGCTGGATGTCTCAGTCTCTCAACAGCACCGTGATGATGATGATGATGATGATGGGGTAAACTGAGCTACGCTGTGCTGTTTTGACACTCAGTGAGGTCTTTGTTTAAAAGTTTTGTTTTACTGTGGGAAAATATAAAACACAAATATCACTTTATGTGTATCAGGCAAGCTGGAGTTTTAGTTTTTACACTGCACACATGAAATCGTATTTATTTTCATCTTTTTGGATGTCGGATGGCTGCCTTAATATGAACAGAAAGCACCCACAGTGGTTAGCTTAGAGTTTATGTCTCGTAAGACTAAATTCATATACGGAGTAGATTTAGAGACTTAATCTTCTCCCTGGTGTGTGTGTGGTAGAGACAGATACTTTAAAATCTATGAAGAAGTACCATGAGTCATTCAGGTTTAATTCAATTTTTACTCTTGATGTACATAATATCCAGCTTAAGCCAGGTACCTCATACATAAAAGTCATCATTGAAGGCCTTTTCGGTCACTATGAACCTTTACCATTCTTTTTTTTTTTTTCTTCCATCCAACCTATTCACAACCCAGAGGCAGAAAGATCATATAATAAAAGATTTGATTTGTTTAAATAAAATTACAGTCGTCCAGAACACAACCTTGGTATAAAGTCAAAAATAAGCTTGAGGTAAGCAACAAAAGTAATGAGCTGTATTCCATGTGAAAAAAAAGACAATGAATTTATCCCTTTATATAAGATTATTAGTACCCATACTACAACTACTTCAAAAACACCTCCAAAGATGGGTCATATTAGGTTGCTGTATTCCTGTTGGGTTAGTTTCAAACTGCAACCACTTTTTCACTTCGTAAAGGCTTCAAATATACGATTACGTAGTTTTTTGGGCCAAAGCACTTGTAATTTAGGCAAAAGTGATTTAATTGTCCGTTTGTCTCATGTTGCTTTGAACCTTGATGAGTGTTTCATTGCTGAGAATGGCGACTAATTGGCTTGGCCTGAGCCAGTTCAACCAAATTGACCTAATAACTGTGATTAAATCACTTGAGACAAAATGCTGCTCTGAGACTCAGCATGATGTGACCCACCTTTGAACCAATGTTTTTGTGCAACTATAATATTACTGTCCTTTTCCACAAGGTGTTTACATTGTTTTGTATGCCACTGCCATGGAGACTTCAGTGGAGGATTCATACCTAAATGAATCAGTTTGGAAGTATGTGAACTCTAAACATTGCTGGGCAACAAAAGCGCCTGACCCGAAACATCTGCTGATAATTAGCTTTCCTCAAACACAGTAAATATTGCTCATTACTTAAGCTGTTTATCTCATACAGCCTGTTCGGCGTACATTTATTGAGGCATTTATTAAGGATGCCAATCATTCTGGAAGGCAGTGCAGATGATGCAAATGCAAGCTTATATACAGTACTCATATAAACTGTAATATTACAGTTAATACATCTATTAAATGTAAAGTGCTAGGCAAAAGGGCCATGTTAAATTGTTTATTAGGTCTAGACTAATTCAGTCTCAGTTAAAGGATACAAAATCGGTTAACCTCCATGAGAAATACTACCAGGCTATGTGTAATTAGATGAATTTCGACACCAGATATAAGCAGAAAGTCCCTCATCACCCTCAGTTTAGTTCATTTTTCATTATCCCTTTTCACCATTAGAAAGTGTTTGGCAAATATCTTGGACCAAAGGGATTACGTCCTCGTCAGAGCTCCTTTAGTAATCACTGTGTCATACAACCAGATTGCCTCTCTGACTCCGTTTCAATCCATTTCTTCTCCACTTCCACCTAATAAGAACAAAATTAGATTAGGTTAGTTGCACTAATAAATAAAGATGGGGATCTAGATTAACGTTGGTGCATTCATTGAGCAACATATTATTCCACTGATGAGACAGTTACCTGACAATGATAGCGTGTCCAACTGGTCACATGTTTCTGTGGTTGGATGTCATTTGTGGTGCCCAGTGACTTCACCCTGGTCTGTGACACAACTGCGCCCATAATTTCACATTCCATAGTGACAAAAGGATACCAGTCACTTGGGATCTCCTGATCAGATCCCAGCTCTAGCTTGCAGGAAAATGAATGGGGATGATCCACTGCTGCAAAGGAGAAAACAAAGGTCGCTTGTAGTTAGAGTGTTACGCCACTGAGTGGCAAGCACACTGTACACATGCACAAGAAGCCAGGGCCAAAGAGCTAATGAGAAAATGATATGTTAGGCTGTAGTGCAGGGCTGAATTTGAATCTCTTAGAAATGTGTTACCCGTGTTCTTGGCGGGCAGCCTGTCGATCCTCCACACGATGGCTGAATATACATTCTCATACTTGACTGTGCCGATTGTCACCTGCATGACAGGCTGTGAGTCTGCAGCGCTGACGTAGCCCAGGCAGGCATTTCTGTTCATACGGGCCTTCAGTGACCTCTGTCGCAGCAAGGCCACTGTCTGTGTGACTTTCACCCAGTCGCTCGGCACCGGCACACGGATCACTACATTCTCACACAGCGGGTACGTGTCAGACACCCCCATGGAGGAAAGGAAGGTGGCTGACATGTTAAGAAAGGCCTGGAGCTCCACGTAGGCACCCTGAACTGTGACCACAGCTTTGATTGAGAAAGGAATTTCTGTGCAACCCAGAATTGTCGTCTTGTACCGCATCAGCTCCACCCTGCAGGCGTCAGGAGGTGAGAACTTTATCAGCCGGGACCTCTGAAACTCCGTCTCGTTCACACATTTGTGGAAATGGCAGTCGGCGATCTCCATCCAGAGTTCACCATCCTCCTCAGACCCGTAACTGGAGTTAAACCGCAGCAGCCCTAGATCGTTGAGGGCAAGAAAACAATCCCCTAATCCGTTCAGAAAAGCCAGACAGTGAATCTGGGTGAGGGCTGTCCGCTCCATGACTCCTCCGCACTTATCCAGTTGAATCCAGATGTGATCAGTGATCTGCAACGACAGCTCCTGCTCCTCATAGTGCCGCCTCTGCTGGTGGGGCACACACAGTTTGAAGATTTCTTCTTCCATGGAGACTACCAGATCCTCCATGTCGTCATGCACTGTGGAGCCAAATTTGAGCAGCTGCTCTACCTCCGCCTCATGACTAACCTCCAACTTAGGGTGGTAGCGTTTTTTTTCTATATATGAGAAATGTTCCACCTTGAGCGCGAGGACCTTGCGGGGCTCGCCGTAGCTTTCCAGTTTAAGATCTGAGATCCTGCACTGGGGGAGAAGCTGGAACTCCTTGTATGGCTTCTCCAGCCCTTTCTCATAGTACATCTGCAGCACGCCTCCCGGCAACAGGCGCAGGTAGATCGGCCCCCACTGCCGAGAGGACATGCGGTTCTTTTTTTCAGGAATCCTGACCATGACAGACCAGCCGTCTCTTTTTTGGCTACGAAACAGACCCCGAGGAACGAACTGAGATGAACCCTCGCTTAAGACTTCATTTTTGCAACTTAGCCGCCTCTCCCCATCTTTTTCTGTCTCTGTTTCTGTCTGTGCTTGTAGGCCTTCCAGTTTATGGCAAACGTAAGACAAGGAGCTCTGGAGTTGGTCGCGCGGAGGCTTGCTGCCGTCTTTGGTCCGAATAAAGAAACGCGGTAGGCTGTTGTCAGATTCTGAGTCTGAGGAAGAGCTGTCCACATGTGCGCTGTGTCTAGATCCATCCCAGAAGGGGTTATAGTGTCCTGAGTTCCCCTGGAAAGATGGGAAAGGGCTTGGTCCATCTGAGGTTTGATTCAGTGCCTCCGGTGCAGGAGAAGGAACAGAAGTGGTAGATGTGCTAGAGAAACTCCGAAAGAAGTCGTTCTTCTCCCAAGAGTTGGTGTGAAATGGGGAGGCACTGCTAGGAACCCCACTCACGGGAGTGCAAAAGGGCGTGTTACACGGTACACAGGAACTTCCACTAAGACTGGAGTTGCTTTGAGGGGATTCCAGAGAACTGTTGAAGCTCCAGGAAGTATCTCTGATCGGCGGAAGCACTAATTTCAAACCATTAGGACGCGGTACTGATGCTTTGATAAGCCCTGGTGACTGTACAGGCTTCTGAGGTGATGAGAGCGGTGTGTTGTCATCTTCAAATGTGACCCAGTTGGAGTGATTTGTGGAACACATGGCTGAAGAGGACTGATGACTGCTTCACAACAAGAATTCCGGCTTTGTTGGGTTAACTGTCCCCTTGTTCAGAGGTCTTCTCCTCTGCAAGAAAACAAGTAAGAAAAATGAGAAAACAATGAAAAAGGTAAAAGTCCTTTTTAAGAAGGTAAGAGCTCAAGATATCTCAGAGTTAAAACGTTCTATTCTAACAGATCAGTTTGAAAGCTTAAACAAGTCCATTCATCTGGTCAGTAAAAAGACAGGAGAGAGAGCAACTGGGGATATAAATAAAACATATTTGCTCCATCGGTACTACATTAAAACCTAATGAGAGACTGACCTTGAAAACTTGAAACATGTGTGTATATGTTAACACCACAAGTGACTAAGGCAGAAGCAGCAGGAGAGTTTCTCTCAGTGACACCACAGCTTAGAGCCCGTGTTGATCTCTTAGTTTTGGAGAATCCTTCATACAAACTTTCTTTAACTGAACTGTCTTAACTGAACATGATGAGAATAGTATCAACTATCTGATATATTTTATTTGGATAATTTTGCAAGCAATATAGAAAAGGATGCTTCATTCTCCTGAAAATAACTGTATTCATTTCATTCATAGTCTCCCATCATCAGCTCAAATTTGTATTTGTTCCAATACTTTGGTTTTAGACCAAACACCTGCAAAACTAATGGAATCCCTACCAGCCTCAGCTGTACTTTGTTGTTTAGCTCTAATTAGCAAATGTTAACATGCCACTGTGCCAAACTAAAATTCTGAACATGACATTCATTTAAATTTTCTTGGGAACTGCACCACACTAAAATGTTTTCTTGCATCGAGAGAATGAGATTTGTAGGGCAGGGCCATCTCTGCAGCACTACGGCACTTCATTACCTTTATCCAAACAAAAAGCAGCTTCTGCAGTTATTTCAATTCATTGTTCAGCCCTTCTGATTGTTACTGTCATTTGATGCACTGAGATATGCACTCCAAAATTGATTCTTCCATTCAAACTCTCTTAAAAAATGTTAATCTACACCAAATCTACATTTCAACAGGTGATAAATCTTTTGTATTCAATGTTCTGACAAACTGACGCTGGGTTTCTCAAAGGGTTGTGATATGAAGGTGATGTGTTTGAAGGCGCGCCAACAGGAGAGAGTTCTCTTTTTTAAACCCTGTTTTCAAAAGTAGTTTAAAAGTTTCTGGAAGTTCAAAGGTTTTGTAATGCTAACTGATGAGGTAAAATGTTCTATTTTAGACATAGTGTGCTTTGATATGAACATAGTGTAAATATTTAATAGCAAGCCTGCTCTAAAATGTGTATGAGAAAAGTTAGCCACAGCAAGCACACAACACAAGATCCTGCCTCATTAAGCAGCATGAAGTCAACTGTGAGAACCAGGTATAATGTGGCACAGCAGCTCGGAAAGGAAAAAAAGCTGGGTAAATGTGAAGGCAACTGTGGAAGCTGGATGCTTTATCCTCTCTGATGTTAGATCTGCACAACATAATTCAATATAGGTATTTAATGTTGAAAGAGTGTGGGAATATTGCTAAACAACAACGGCATTCAGGCTAATAAGCCAATGGGCAGAGGGCAAATGTGTTGTGATCTTTATGCAATCTTAAATTTCATTTTCCCGTCATAAATCACAATCTGTCTTTTGATGTGCTGGCAGCTCTGCTCTCGGCGACATCAATCTCAGATGCCACAAAGAAGCCACTCTCAAAACGCTGAAGCCTCATCTCCCCGTAAAGAAAATCCTGAAAACAATAATTGAAAGCAGAAAGCCTCAATTAAAGCCTTCCTCCTCCCTTCAAGATCACAGCGATGGCTTGCATGAAGGAGACATCCAGCGGCAAGTTCCTCTAACTATAAATAAACCGGGGGGTGGGGGCTCGGATTCAGAGCGGTGGATTGACATGTCTTCAGTCAAACACTGGAGAACATCATTTTAATGAAATGGATGTTTGCGGACATTTCCAGGAGTTCATCCCGCCTCTCTCCGGCTTAGAGAATCCTTCAGTTTTGGTTCAAAGAGACGGGCACAGAGGAGGATGAGTTCTCCACAGGGGCTACTGACAGTCTTTCAGAGTCAATTTACAGTCGGCCGTCTCTTCCCGGGCTCCATAGCAGGCAGTGCAGAAATGAGACTCTGCTAAATCTACAGAGGACAAAAGAATACATTCCACACATTCCTCTGGGACAAGCAGCTTTGCACACAGGAAATACCAGCCTGCTCTATTCGTGTGAACTGACAACAAATATTATCTTAATGTCGTTTTATCAAAAGTCAAAAATGCACCAGATTTACAGGTCATAAACTCTGGTTTGTCTGGTTGTTTAGCGGCGCTTAAAAAAGCAGCGATAAGGAAGGAGTCTGGGGATTAAGATGGGCACATTACAGTAATGGGGTAGGTACTATTCAAGACTTTTACAAGTTTAACCTTAGCTTTTATTGTTATTATCATCCCAGGACTTTGGATGGGAAGAAATGTCACAAGGTCAGTCAACTATAAAGTAAAAGCAAAAGCTGATTTTGAATCCTGAAGAACTGCAACTGAAACAACGAGTAAGGTAATCCCATCCAGTCTCTGCGCTTTATCCTTACTCATTATTACTATACTTACATAAATGACTATATTTGTAAAACCTGAGGTAGGCAAAAGAACCTACACAGAACCTTCAAGTCTGAAGTCACTTAATCCTAGTTACTGAGTCAAACTGAGTCATAACATGTTGCATGCATGCAATGCATGTATTTGTGCAGCTTTAAAAGAGGCCCCGCTGTCAGCACTTTGATATGCGAGTCCTAAAAGCTACCAGAGAAAACTGAAACACATCAAATTATAGGGGCACAAACTGAAAGATGAGTGAACATGTGAATATCATGTGTCTGGAGTAATGGGAGAGCTTATTGCAAACACAGACATTTCAATCCACAAAAGAGGAACAGAAATCACAAGCTCATATTAACAAACGGGGATATGAGAAACGCAGTGGTAGCTGCATGTTGGCACTCCACCCAATATGACCTTTCTTTATCGCAGTGATTGCGATCATATCGTTTACTTCCAAATTAAAGAGTTCATTCTCTTTCTTGTCATTCCGCATTATCCACTGTAACGACGGCGCTGGCTCTTTGTGACAGCAAGGACAAATCCAGTGACGGCAGGAAGCCTGACACACGACAAGTGAGAGGAAACTGAAGTGGTATAAGAATAAAACTGCTGAATTTAGGGGAAAAAACGAACTTTAACTTAGCAGGCAGATGTTTCCAGATAAAACAAGACACGTTCCTGTTGGATAACTCCTGTATGCTCCCACTATAGAGGAAATCATTTTCCCTGGAACAAGTACAGAAATAAACAAACTAAGACACTACCCCCATTTTAATCTGACAGGAGAATACTACTGTTGTGACCACAGTGACTATGTAATCTAGTGCAGAGCTCAAAATGTAAATGACCCATTTCCGGTGGCAACACTGTCAGCTCGCCCATTAAAACACAGTTGCTGCTTTTGTCTCATCATCGCCTTAAACACACGGAATAAACCAATGTTATGTTACTTATACACTTTAATAGTTGTGAGAGACTTATTCCAGTTCAGAAAAGCATGACTGCAAAAACAAGCAGGAATGAATGAGGGATGTTTGTGTCAGCTGTGTTTAAAAAAAAAAAAAATCACTTTTCCATTATTGTTTTGCAGTTTACTCAAGTGGTAGTGATTCATTTGGATCTCACCCCTTTAAACTAATAATAAACATATATTTTAGTGTCCTTAAAGGCCTGCACACATTCTTCCCTTCACAAAAAGGGAATTTATAACAGCTCAATTAATTCTGCTGCTACAGTTTTAGTTGGCCTGTTAGCTAATATAAGTCAGCTTTGCCTTGGATATTGCTCTGTAACAGACATTACAGGGGCCAGTTTGCTGACTTTATGACTCTGTTCTTGGCATTGTTGCGCTACATTTTAGCATTATCCTCTAATTGTCACTCTGTTACAAGTTATATTGACACATTTGCATTTGTATCACATTTAAATATCCGCAAAGGTGCAAAAAAGCGCGATTAATATCACCTACATGTGCAAATAAACTGAATAAACTGTATCCCTCCTTGTTAACCACAATACACTGTTGCATTATTGTTACAAAGCAGCGTAGCGCCGGAAAAATGCCAGACAAACGCACGAGTTGCCGGTAAACAACTTCATTTTTTTCACCCATAGCAACTCAGACTGAAGAAAGAAAACAGTACCAGCATGCTGTCACCCACAACAGAGCCAGGCCCATGTCCCGGGACCCAGAGGCCCACTTCTGGGAGCACTTCTACGCCTTTGTTTTGATGCAAAGTCTGAGTAAAGTTGTCACTCACTGTACTTTGCACACGTTTCATTGAGCACAACAAGCGCCATTCACCCATAACCGAGCCACGACTGACAACAGTCAACATTAAAGAGTAGTTTTATTTTTTAAAAGTCGTTTCCAAACACTGAACTATCACTAGCTCTCTCCAAAAAACAAAAACCAAAACCAGCTCCGAGTGCGACCAGTAGAGAGAAATACTCACATATTCACAGAGGTAGTTCACTAACTCGGGTCATGACTTGTGTTTAATGGACACGTCTGAACGCTGATGTCGGCCGGTTTTCCTCAAAATGGCAGAGTGTAAATCCTGGGAGTTTTAACAGCGCTTCCCCTCAGACTGTCCTGCAGCGGGACACTGCAGGAATGAGCAGGGCTGTGTGCTGCGTTCAAAACTGTGGGACATGTCGCTACCACTTCCCACACACATACAGAGAGAGAGAGAGTGGATACACGCACACCTTCAGGGTAGATAATTAACATAACCTTATGGCTACATCGCCTTTGGTTTGGGAATAATTCATGTGCATATGCTTTAATTTAATAAACCCATGTTTCGACATCAGATGACTAATTTGATCACTTTCAGAGTTGAGGTTTTGAAGGCGGTGTATAACAAGAAGTGGACAACTACAACTATAAACGTTACATGTAGCTCAAAGTATATATGCAGAAGGCCCTTATTTAGTATCTAATCACGTCATCATGGTGTAATTGTACAGATTTAGCAAAGGATGGACTTAAATAAAAGGGTGAATCACAGTACAGAGGGGTTACGATAAAACATTAAGTAGGCCATATGCTCATGGAGAATAAAACAATCCACTTCAAGCAGGTTATTTCGGTAGGCCACTTCACCACTCTACATCTCTATTATATGTTATTATATGAATTATGCAGCCACTGTACTTTTACTTTTGAATTAAAAAAATAAAAAAAGCACCAAAAATGTCCTTTGTTATAAGGTCAATATTTCAGTATTACTACCCATAACTCTTTAAGTGGTGGTTATTACTACTTTAACCTCTGAATTAGTGTACCAAGAGTACATGAAAGCATCATGAATTCAAATAAAATGACACAACATGTTTTTCCTTCCAAAACAAAGTGACGGCATCAAACAGTAATCTTCCAGTTCTCATATGTCAAGTTAAATGGTGCTGCATCATTTCCCAGTAGTTCGGGTGTGTTACAGGCTTTTTTTTTTTTTATCAAAAGCAATTTAAATTCCCAGCCACTTCCAACTCCCAGAAATGCAGCACAAAAAGACAAGTTCAGCCTTGTGGATAACCGTGTGAATGTAATACACAAAGCATTGAAATGTTGAACAAGCTTCTTTTTTTTATTATTTTGTTTCACATATTTATGTGCTTTTGAACAGGTTACATTGTGAGAATACAAGTATTATTTGTTTTTTATCAGTTTACGGGGCGTTGGCAAATCTTTGTGGTCAAAGGTTTGCTGGCAGGTGTAGACTGGCAAACAGGAGGTTTGAATGAACTGCTCATAACCACCGCTGCCGGGCTTTTTTTCATTTACCTCATGTCTCTACAAGCCAAAGAGGTTCTATTTTATTGTAAACTTTTAACTGCACTCTGCCATGACTCAGGTTGTCTAAGCACCAGTTACAGTATGGGCCAACCTCTCTGACACTTCCCAGTACTCTAGCCTCATAGCACACACACAGAAACACGGGCTGCAGATTTAGTTTTCCAAATTTCGTGGAAAATAAAGATTTGTAACCTCTGAATAAATGCCTTTTTGTATATATATATATATATATATATATATTTAGAAATTGTACAGTACAATTATATCATGATTTCAAATGAGTGTATATTCACATTAACCCTTTTTGTCCATACATATTACAACATGAATTAAGAGACCACTGTGCCACATCAGGCTTCTGTGTGCACATCCACACTTACTTTGGTGATAAAAACAACTATTGTTACAGAGTAACTTCACAGAGACAGACTGACACCATTTTACGAGCTCCAACTTGTCCATCCTACCCTTTTCGTCTAGGTAAACAGTTAATCAGTGCTTCAAGGCAGACATTTTCTTTTCTTTTCTCCACTCCAAGAGGACTGAAAATCTTCAAAAATGAGGAATGGATTCAAGTGTGTTGTTCATTCAGGTTGTTAAAGCCCTTCTTTACAGAAGCTTGTGATATATGCATGTGTTTATAAGGGGTATTTATGCTGCATGTAGATATACAGGCCCTTGTGATAACTCGCACAAATAATCTCAAATGTGATCTAAAAAAAATAATAATCCAAGTGTAAAACAATACACACACGTTTGTAAAGCCTGGTGCCACAGTCACACAATGAGACAACACTCTGCACACATACAGCCACACCAACATTTACTCTGTTGACCTGCTCCCACAGATAAGCAGTAAGAATGCACAGTTTCATTTGCTCTCACACGCACGTTAAGCAGGAAAAATACACACACTGATCAACAGGGTTTGGTCTTCAAGTCTTGACTTCAGTGAGCATTATCAACGTCAACTGTTTCAGCCGTTTATCTCCCTCTGTCCCTTTAGGGGAAAAACTGTTTCTCTCCCACCCTGCTTTGGCCAAAAAGGTCAAGCAACAGCTTCCGGTATCGTTTCAGAAAGCATTTTTAGCAAATCATGTTATGTTATAAATGAGGCTGTGACAAGGAAAGGGGGGAAAAAAAGGAAGCTTCTTCAGTCAAACATGTTCAAGCCTCTGTACAGTTTATTTGTATCAACCACTGCCTGACAGTGGAGGAATCTGAGGCTCATGAAGCCGTCCTGTGGTTTGGTGACTGGTGGTGTTGGTAACCAGGATGCTGCTGGAAGGCTCCACAGACCAGATCTTCTCTCAAGGTCCCCCCTTTGTGATGCCAAATGGAGCCAGAGTTTTGAGGGCAGCTCTAGCGTCCTTTGTTCTTTTTGGCATTTCCCTAAAAGAAACAGAAAACGAAAAAGAGCTCAGTACTGCGGTGCCATAAGTTGTCATGGCTGAGGTTTTTTATTTTTTTTCTGCATTTAGTTTCAAGATCTTAAAAAACGTGCTGAGGCTGGTCTTTGGTCTTCCAGAGAAAACCACCACCTTTAGCTCACAAACATGTTCCGTCCTGTGACTTCCCTACATGCAGCCATCTGTGTGCGTACATGCAGGAACATGCAGGCTTAAAAACAGGGCTCTCCATTTCTGCAACTTTAGTTAATGACTTTTTCAGATGGTTCCAGCAGGTGCTTTTCCCATCAGGCCCGGCAGCAACCACAGCACCACCGACGACCTCCCAGTTCACCTCATAACTGACAGAAACTTTACAACGTCCCATTTCACCGCAAAAACCTGAAATGATCCTTCACACTCCCTGAAGCCACTGGATTTTGAACCACTCATTTGTAGTGACAGGGCTTTTAGAGTTATTTATAATGGAGTCTGACAGCTGAGAACAAACATTCAAAACAAAAGAGCTTGAATTAAAAAAAAAAAAGAGGATAAAACGCAGACAAAACAGAAACATTTCCGAGTGTTTTACCTTGCTGCCCAGTTTGAGTGTGTCAATTTCCTCCCTCTGCTTGCTTAGAGTCTCATTCATACTACATAGATGGTCGCTCATCATGCTCAGCTGATCTTCGTAGCTCCTCTTCGTCGTGGCCAGCTCATCCTGTGTGAGAGACACAATGTTACAATGGGATTGTCTTCCAATTTGAGAAGGAGGCCAGAGCCTACACAGGAAGCTTTTCGGTAATTTACCTGCAAGCGTGTGATGTTCTGATTAGCCAGTTTGACCTCCTCGCTGAGAGTCTCCCGTGATTTTTCTGCAATGGCTAATCTCTTGGCCAAAGCTCGACACTAAAAAGGGGAAAAAAGGAAGGTAAACAACTACAGTTCCCTGACGGGTTTAATGCATGTCTGGCGCACTTTACAGACGTTTTTCAAAAGCTGCAATAAAGGGAGATGTTTCTTTGAGTAATGGGTATATTCGAGGACAGCGCCAAAGGTAAATGCACAGTTTGAAAAAGTGACAGTTTAATACCCGAGACACTGACTCAACATCAGGTGCTTCTCTGTTGCTACGATACAAAACGAGGTTGACTGACACGCCAGTTAGTCACAATACGACAGGATGTCAAGTATCTCCATTCAGATCAAGCCGCCTCACCGTAATGCTAAAAATATAAGGTATCACTTTCTCAGAAAATAAATAAAAAAATAAAAAAAATAAAAAGGTAACACTTGGTAATAATGGAACTCAAGAACCAATTCCAAAGTACAAAGAGGAAAGAACAGAGAAATAAGGTTAACTTCTGGCTCAGTACGCTCTCTGTTCTCAAGCAAATTAAAGAAGCAGACAAAAATAGTTGGAATGATTATAGGAAGGTACACATGAGGGAACAGGGCAAGTGACTGTTCTGCACTAAGAGTTTCCATATCTCCTCCCAGATGACATGCGATGTTAGAAAGGCTGCGTGCCTTGAAAAGGTCAGTTCTCTCCTATAAGAGGTAGTTACTGAGATAAACATTCAAGTGAGGGCTTCACCTCAGAGTGAAAGTGCACAGCTTTGCTGTCGGAAATCTGGAGCTGGGTGGTGAGCTCTCCCACTCTGGCCATGTAGTGAGTCTTTATCAGATGCTCCCTGGACTCCTCGTCTGCCACCTGTAAACACAGACAAAACATCCAGCTAGATAAGATTGTTTTTCCACCTGGGAAATATTTATATTTATATTTAATATATGATTTTAAATACTTATATATAAATATATATAATTTTTTTCATACAGGAAGTCTTAACTCACATGCTCAACTGTAGGTGTTGTACACAACATGCCAACCTGGTGACAAATAGACAAGAGAGAAAAACGTGTTGGGAAACTTCCATCATAGATTAAATGTTATAAAAACCACTTCAAGCACAGACAGGTCTGACACTGCTAGGACAAACATGCAAGAGATAACAACTAATACAAAAGTAGTACAGAGACAAACTGATCTGGATCGTGACTGCACTGTGAACTCCACACCGACTTGCATAAACAACAGTATTCTTCTTTCCTGCAACATCAGCACATTGGAAGTCTGAGTTTTATTAAGCAAAAACTTGCTTAGCGTGGGAGCTACAACAAAAGAATGATAATACTCCCTTTGTTGAAGCAAATCAGACAACAGTGCCATGGGCAGAGATTTTCCTCTGCAAGTAAAAACTAACAAGCACAGCAGCCAATAGAGGGACTGTACCAGGCTGGTGCACAGCGTCGTCTCTTTCCCTGCAGCTTTCTGCTCTCTCTCTGCCTCCTCATGGCTCTGTGCGAGTGTGCTGGCTGCAGCTGCTTGTGGATTTGGACTTCCCCCTAGAGCTGCCGTGAGCTGCGATTCCAGGTCCGCAATGCGCTGGTTCTCCTTTTCTAACCGCACCTTCCCCAGCTGGGCCTCCAGGAGCCAGTGCTCCTTCTCCTGCTCCAGCCGAGCGATCTTCTCCTGGCTCTGCTGCACCTGCAGGAAGCCAGCGGGGAGAGGAGAGGAGCGGACAGTGAGCTTGTGGGAAGACGGCCGAACAAAGGTCGGGGGAAGTAAAAGGGCGGCAGAATTTAGGAAGAAATGGGGAAACTATATAACAAAGCAGTTTGTAATAATACAATCTTTGGGTAGTTTGAAACTATTTATTTTTATTTGATCAAAAATGACACACACACAAAAAGATTAATATATATGAAAAGATTAAAGATTAGATAGACTCCTATATATAGAGTATATAAAGTCTTCAAACTGTTCCTTCCAAAACCTGGAGGCTCAAATGGCTTTGTCTTTATACATTAACTTTATGACTTTGTCCTTGTAAGAGTTAAATTGGTGCTGAAGTGACAAATTTAAGCAGGTTGATATGAACCAAAAGACAGAAAAAAGAAAAAAAGAAACATTTTGAACTTGTCCAATACAGAAAACGCACAGGCTCACTGGCCAAAGTGTTCACACCCTGTCCCTAAACAGCGACTGTCTGCAATTCGTCTGAAATATCACATGACTTTATTGTGTCATTCTAAGCCAGAGATGTCTGCATACAAATTCCTGTATTTTTATAACCACATTTTCCGTATCCTCGTATTTTTCTCAGAAACCCCCGATGCTGTTGTTCTGCCGTTTCAAGTTTTCCATCATTTTTAGTTTGTTCTTTAATCTTAATATATCCCAAAGAACACAAAGCCACAATAAACATGTGGAACCATTTTAGACTTTATCTGTATATGTTATTATGCAACCAGACTGGCTGACACACTGACTCAGACACAATTACATTGTTCACAGAACACCGAGTGCCTGGTTGTAGCTCTTGTGACGTGACCTCTTTAAAAGATAATTAGCAAAATCTTTAAATTAATCAATTCTCAACTAACAGAAATAGTTCACAGCGAGAGGTTTTGATTGGAGTGTCATACCTGCTGAGTGAGACCCTCTCTGCTCTCGGTGGAGCTAGTAAGTATACGACGGTTTGTCAGGGCTTCTCTGTATGGAACAGACTGTGGCCTGGGCTGAAGAAACAAAACAAGATGGATAGCGGGAGAACGGGAATGTGTTAATAAAAACAAACAAATATAATATTTATGATGATTTGTATAGCACTATTCTAAACAAAGTACGTTCAATGGAAAAGAAAAAAACTGAGTAAAAGCAAAGTAAAAACAACAAACTATCATAAAACAAAAGGGGAAGAGAGATACTGATAGAAGTAGATAAAACATATAAAGCAATATAGCAAAAGGTGAGATTAAACATATTACATTTTTCAACTGTGTTTAAGAAGCAGTTTAAAAGGTGTTACAGATGTAATCTTTGTAATCTCAATGGGAAAAACGTTCCAAAGTCTGGGGGCTTTATCTTTGCTAGAAAACCAGCAGATTTAAGTATACCAACCTTTTTGATGGCACTGATATAGGCAGCTGCTTTCTTTTTATTGGCTAACATGCTCTCTGCTTGCAAGGGGTTGAGCATTACTGTGCTGCCTCTTGGACTGTAGGCCGATGATGTGAAGAAGTCCAAGTTGTTGCTGAAGAAAGTGGCAATCTGCAACGAAACAGCGACACCACGCCTCATATCATTGAAAACAAAACAGATCTTTGCAACCTCCTTAGCTAATAAAACCCTAATTAATACCAACATTTCTCAAAGTACATACTGAGCGTTCTGTTTAACCGGTGTGTCTACAGCAGAGAGATGATTACACCACCAAGTGTCCAGGATGATAAATGACTGAGCGAGCTTTTTGCCTGCAGAGATGATCGCTCTCAAAAAGCAGCACTCCACACATCATGTGCCAGCGTGTTATTCAACGCTGCAACCCACCGGACTGTGCCTCCCATCAGCAGACACATTTCAGCCAACGGTTCGCTTGATTCACAAAGAGAAATCATTTATCCCTTTATCTGACTGGGGAGCAGCTGTACAAACTGTGATTTGGACAGTATCGCTGAACATTTAACCGCTGCCCACCTGAGTCCTGCCGTTCTGTGTTATCACATTAGTGGCAAATTGCCAACAGGATCCAGTTGCGGTGAAAACTCACTGCTACTCACAATTAAGCTTTTATGCATTACAGATAACAAATAACACAATCCGTTTGAACATACGATGTAGGTGTGTGTGATATATAAACCTGGCTGCTGCCTGCCCCCTGTTGGCCGTACCTTGCCGGTGCTGCTGGTCAGAGAGCCCAAAGATCCCAGCAGGCATTCAGAGGTGGTGGAGAGCTTCTGGGTGACAGTGGGGAGCTCCTGCTCTAAGCTGGCCTTCTGGTTGTAGTGCTTTGACATCTCTGGACATAGAGTGAGGAAATAGAAAAGCAGGAGAGGCATTTAAAGCATCTGTTGGCTTTGAGTCTTCAGTTTCACCAGCTACATATGACATTTTTAGCATCAAATTACATCAAATGGCAGCAGTTTGGTGACACTCCCTTACTGATTTGTGTGTAATATATGTTATATGTTACATATTTGATGTCACTGTCCCCACAAGAACAAAGACAAGCAAACAAGAAGCTGCTCATTACATAAATACACTTCCACTCAGCTAAATGAGCCAGCTGTACAAAAGTGACTTTTCTCTGCCAGAGAGAACTAAACCATACTTCCGTTAGACTTGGCAGTGTGACAGACGCTACGCTGAAGCCTCTGGATTTTTATTCTTCAAAAACTGAGCTGGTGGGTATTGTTGCAAAAACAGAACGAGTCTGACTTTTATGAATAGGCAACAGCAGCTTGGTGGTTACATGCTGTGTAACACTGGTTGTGGATGGCTCCAGGTCAAAAAGCGGTGCTGCTCACCTTTAATGGCATCGTGAAGACTGTGTAGGCAGGCAGCCAGCTGGGTGAAGACAGCCGAGGTGCTGCTCTGTGGCAGGGCATCCTGACGAACACCTGAGACACATTATACGCATTTTTAAAACAAGTGTGTTACTTTTACAGCACCTTTCCTTTATATAAAAACACGCAACTTCCAAATACAGCTCTTTACATTCATTGTTATACACAGAAATGTGAAACACTGTATTTGTATGTATTTCTGCCTATGCTAACTTACTGGGTAAGGCCAAAATGTTAATGTAGTTCTGCAGTTTCTCAAACACAGAAGTCACTTTCTTCGTGTCACTCTGCAACTCCTGGTTCTTCGCAGTAAGGGCAGCAGTACAAAGAGGTGCCTCGCACTCTTCTTCGAGACTGAAAGGAGAGGAGAAGATAACTATCAACACAGCCTCCCGCACTCCATTTCTCTATCACACATATACACACACAGCACTGACCTTTTCAGCTGGTAGGGAAGAATCTTTTGCAGAAAGTGGGTGTATGAAGAGAAATTATCAGCAAAGCTCTTCAGCTTGACCACGGTCTCCTTCAATTCAAGAAAAAGAAAAAAATATAACAATGACCAACAATAACTGGTTGATTTTGATCAGGCATCATGAATAAGCCAACACAAAGCTCCTGTCCAAAAAAAAAAGCACTCACCAATACTGTGACTGTGTCCTCTGTGATGCTTTGGTGTAACTGCAGAAAGCTGTCCTCCAGGGGGCGCACAGAGGCTGCATTCTCATGTAGATACTGAGAAAACTAGGTAGAGAGAGGGATAATGGATTCAAGTTTGTATACTGAATACTACACATTTTGTATGTAAGCCCACTGCTACTGTCTTTAATAGTCCACGTCACTGTGTATCTGTAGTATGATAGGCTGTCTGTATTTCTAGTGTATAGTTGCCTCACCTTCTGGTTCAGAGGGGAGATGGGCTCAATGGAGGAGTCCAGGGGATAGATGTGCACTCTCTGTTCTGTGTAGGAGTGGAAGTTCAACAGAGCAGCCACCAGGTCCTGGATAAAGTTCAGGGCTTGACCTGCCAAGTCCCGGGCTTTAAGCTAAAACCACAGAGAACACACGTACCACACACTCAATGTTTTCATCCTCTCTCTAATAAAACTCAGCTGAACTGAATCCGTGACACTAATTGATTAGTCAATCAATCGAACAACTATTTTCATAAATAATCTGAATTTTAAAGACATTATTAAGCAAAAATAATAATGTTTCTTTGTCTTAAATGTTAGTCATTTGAATGTCTCTTGGACTGTTGGTATGACTAAACAAGACATCTGAAGACATCCCCTTGGGCTTAAGGAGAATGTAAGGTAAGGAACTTTTCACCATTTCCTAACAACTTATTGACCACTTTATTAGTAGAGAACAGGTTAATTGATAATGATAATAATCCATAGCTGCAGCCCTTTATACCACTACTGCTGAATTAGCTGAATTGCTTTCTTTGAGAGTAGTTAAGCATTATTGTCAAAGTCGTTAGTTATTGGTCAATAAACAAAAAAAAAATGCTCCCATTTTATATGTGCTGGGGAAATAAAATCCTAATTTTCGACAACAGTAAATAAGATGCATGACTAAATGATACAAGTATTCTCTTTAGACCAATGAAATGCATGTGCCTTTTCAACCCATTAAAAAAAAACCTGTGTTCTCACTCACCTGGTGCCTTCGATTGTGTGGTGGCACGTTTAGGCTGTTGTAGTCACTAAATTCTGCAGGGTAGGAGAGAAAAGCAGTTAAACCAGAGCAGAACCTCAGTCCCTGTTTATTGACTTGACAAACACAGCTTAAATGCTTTAGCCTCCTGCCTCTTTGACTGCAATATTACAGTTTGGTGTAGCATTACACTATTTACTCCTGGGCAGAATGTCTGCTCTGTCACAGATTGTTTCTGTCCACGTGGCTCGGTGCCAGATACTCACTGGTGTCATTGAAGGGCACTTTCTCCTGGATAACACTGCTGCTTTGTTTCACCTGTCGGTTCAGCTCTGACTGGCACCGCCTCAACTGCTGCTGACTGCAGGGACAGAGCAAAACATAGAGTTTAATGGATACATTTCTGCATTTTACTTGGTCAAATCATTTTAATACAGTGTGAGAATCACAACTACAGTTGCTAAAAATGCACATTTTCAAAGTTTATGTCAGAAAGTGTTTCAGATACAAAATGTTCAATTGATGTGATAAAAGTAAATCATAATCCAGTTCTCTCAAATTCAGGATTTCTAAGGATTTACCTGTACTCTGCTGTATATACAGTATTTATGTGTACTTTCTACTAAAGTAGTTAGCTGTACATGCAAATCACATCAATGGATTTAACTATTATTAAACTGTAATAAGAAGGAAGATGTACCACTCTTCTGTTCGCATTCTGCACTCTTTTGCTTCCCTCTCCAGGGTCTGCGTTTTCACCTATCGAAAAGAAAGGAAAAATACACACATTTTAATGATCTTTATTAAAACTGACTTATGTAATGTCCTTCATCCTCCTCCTGCTCCTTTTCCTCACCTCCAAACGTGCTTTGTCACTCTGCAGCCGCTCGATTGTGTCCATGTATTTAGTGGTGAGTCCGTCCACGACAGCCTGGTGCTGCTCCGAGTCTTTCTCCAGCTCCTGTAGTCGTGACTTGAGCTCGGCCTCCTGCCTCCTGTGCTGCTCGTCTGCTTCGTAGAACTAATGAGCGCACGGCAGAAAACATCTCCATCACACGCAAGGCCTCCTTAGTACAGTAACTGTATATACAGAACAATGACAGGTGGATATGCTTACTTGGATATGAAGTCGCTCGTTTTCTTTGATCTTTTTCTGCAGGTCCTCATCAAAAACACTCTGAGTCTCCAGGCCATGCTGTGAGGGAGAGTCTCCTTTACTCTGGAGGAGGAGAAAGATCAAACGGGGGCTTTTAATCATGATTGTTTGGCTCAACAAACATCAGTGTTTAATCATAATCATCACTGAATTTGGAAATTACACAGCAGAAATGAATGAATCATTTTGTGACCATTACAAAAAATTACAGTTCCCTCTAGACGGTGTAACCACTCCCTTGATCAACCCTCATGATCACCTTCCCCTTTTTGCCCTTGGCTTCACTGACAGCTAGCTCCTCTTGCAGCAGCTCCACCCTCTTGGCCAGCTGTTGGTTCCTGAAGCTCAGACTGTCCATCTCCTGCTCCTGCTTCCTCAGGCTCTGGTCCCTTTGCTTCAGCTGCTCCTGATGACGGACAAACACGTGATGGGCATAACAGCGCCTGGACAAGTCTTCTTCCAAAGCAACACATTAAGCAAATCACTACGTGTTTAATCACGATGCACTGCTGTAGAATTTGGAGTACTTGCTTTGATTAAACAGAAAGGCTACCTGGCACACATGGCAGAGTTGCCATTGTGCAACTCTAGCTTCACTAATAGCAACAGTGCAACAAGTACTTATCAGATTAAACACTTCTCCATTAGGATTTAAGATTAGCCTGACAACTTCAGGGTTCAGGGTGTAGTTCATTATGTAGCCTGTACCAAGAGTGAAATTGTATAATACAGCTGTGGCTCTGGTCACAATAACTGTTCCTGTTTTATGTGTTTGGTTATATGTTATATGTTTACCTTTAGTGAGAGAGAGTTGGCCTGTTCATCCACAACTGCCTTCTTCAGCACCTGGTTCTGGGCACGGAGCTGTGAACGGACACAGACATAAAACATGAATACAACATAAAACATCATCAGTGGTCAGAACTGAGATTGAAATGTATAGTTTTCAATTCATGAATAAAGATGCACGCAGCGTCTTAAGCTGAATTCACATCTGCCTTAACGCAGAAAACCTGCCATATGCTTGTGTGTGGTTGCTGGTTTGTTTTTTTTTTTCACCCTACTGTGCACATTATGAAGAGGCTAGTGGCCCTTTAAAAACACACAGATAATGAAGCACAACGGCAGTGTGTGTGTGACAGTTACGCAGTCAGCACTTCCTGAGCAGGATATGGTGCTCGGCTAACAGGGAGATCAGAGTTGAACAGGAAGCAGCACACGCTCCCCGTGCTGTCAGCTGACACAGAAACAAAGGGCGCACACAGCTCACAGGAGACGACCAGGACACAGAAGCTTCACGGTTAAAAATGTTTATAGCACTTGAACACAGAGGGATTTTTAGACCTTTTTGGTTACTTAAAATGTCATTATTCTCAGCGTTCTCAGTCTATTAAGATCCCATATAGCACATAGCAGTTCACTCCTTTGTGTTTAGGCCATATTAAATATCTGCTAAAAGATTAAATACCTGGTAAAACATACTATAAATCCACTGCTACACAAAATACATACTCCAAAATGACCTTAAAGTGCATGAAGTTGAATTAACACCTCTCTAAAAGAATATCACTTTCTTGAATGTAGGGTTTATTGCAGAGTTAGAGGGTGTGTGTGTGTGTGTGTGTGTGTGTGTGTGTGTCTGCTTCAAATATGAAACCCACTGTCACTGATCACACATGCACACTGACACAGTTAGTAAAGGTGATTTCTAACCTCACCTGTATCACCATTAAACACGGGCGGTGTGTTACCTTGGAGTACTCCTGTGCCAGCTTGCTGTATTTCGTCTGCAGGTCTGTCACGTTAGCCATTGTGTCTGGAAACGTTATCCCGTCGCTAATAGTTGATGATAAGAGGGGGATACAGAGCGGTGTCCTTCCTAGCACCGGCTGCCTTGCAGGGCTGAGCTCGTTCTTCACACCAACTAATGACAATGTTGACGACAGACAACGGCGAGCTAACTCAGGTTAGCCAGCTCACGGTTATTCCCAACTACTGCGAGGCGGCTTGTAACGTTACTTGGCAAAACTGACCTCGGATACATATTATTATTATTATTATTATTATTATTATTTTAGCGGCGACAGCGTGCTAGCTTCCCGACTAGCCACCTAGCTATGTAGCATAACAAATCCCGAGTAACACATGTAGGTCGTGTTATGTGACAGCAGCCGTCCGCAAATCCCGTCAAAGGCTGAGCGTAGATTACGGCGAGCTAGTCAATCAGACGTGACAACCCATTCTGTCTGAGGGAATACTTTCATTTTGTAACCCGCAAAAAAAAAAAAAAACCCAAAAAAATCCTCCTCGAATGAGATCCGAGCAGAGAGAGAGAGAGAGACACAACAGGGTCGAGTTCACTCAACAGAGAAGTGGTGAGCTGGTGTAAAACAGGGGCGCCCCTCCTAGCGTTCTGAAGGTGGGATAGATAGATAGAATCAGATAGAATAGATAGATAGATAGATAGATAGATTGATACGATATGATAGATAGATAGATAGACTAGATAGATAGATAGATGGATGGATAGATAAATAGATAGATAGATAGATAGATAGTATTACTACTTTACTTTACTTAAACTCCACTACATTTTATTCTACACTCCAGTTACATTTATCTGACAGTATTAGTACATTTCTATAGATGAAACTACAAAAATATCAATCAATTAAAGTTAATGAATCAGTAATATGACTTTCTGACAGGGACTACTCATACATTTATTTAAAACTCTGATTACTCGTGTACTATGAGTGTTTGTTATCTTTAAATGCAGGACTTTTACTGACTTGTAATGGAGTATTTTTACATTATTAATTATTATTATTATTATTTTAATTATTATTATTTTATTTTATTTTTTCTGAGAAAACACACTATTGTAACACTGGTTACAATGTATGTATAAAAACTACTGTATTATAATGCACACATTTGTACATGTGTTTATACTGGTAATTATAGGAAGGTCTAAATATATGACAGGAAATGGAGGTATTATTATTATAACCTCCTCCCCTCTCCTTTCACCTAATGCCATTTACAATTAAGTGCAGTGACGTCACTGCTGAATTATTTACTGCTGAGTTTGAGAGTGGTATGGGTTGCATTAACAAAAACAAGGTCAGAAATCACAAGCGGGTTGTAGCACTGTGAACGATAGCCTCTGTGATTTCTCTTTAAAACGCACATGACCTCATTTAGAGCAGAAGTGAAATGACATGTTGCTAATGCAGCCATCACTGCTCAAATCCTACACGATTAATTTCACCTAATCCATAATAATCTCTTCATATTTTCCCCACATAGAATTACTATATCTTTAAAGAAATCATAACAGTGGACTTCTTATTCCATCAGTTAAATTTACAAAATGCCAAATATTTCACAAACAAGGATTTGCTCGAGTGCTTTGTACCAAAAGAAAGACATTTCCTCTGCTCCTGTTTCACTACTCCTGATCTTAAATGCATACAGGCAAAAACACAAACTCTCTAACACGCACACCACAGCCAGTGGCTCCAGCATTGTCTGGTTGCCTGGCAACTGTCGGCGTGGCGTGGTTGCTAGGGCCGTGTGGGAGGGGGGGAGGTGATGCTGCTCTGATTTCCAGCTGAATTGAGGCAGTCAGTAGGGAGAAGCCCCCCTCTTCCAGTCGACACACAGGACTCTATTGAACAATAGAGCTGTGCCAATGGGCCTGAGGCTAGTCAGACAAGCCCTTGTTCAGGGTCACACTGTGTTCATCCCACAGTCCTCCATGACTAATTAACTTACAGCGAAGAGTGTCGTTAGGACATCTGATGATGCATCCATCACTGGCACAGCCCTGGAATTTACATTAATGTGAGGTGCATTTCTGGCAGCCTGCCACGTTGGTGCATTCAAAAGACACGCAGAAGAAAAAGGGAAAAGTGTGGTGGAGCCGCCACACGTAGCGCTGAGCACAGCTTGTGCAGTCAAAACAGCTCTGAACTGCTGGACTTGGTGGGAAATATTTGCCAGCTGTAACACGGTTATGTGAAAACTGAGAAAGCAGCCACACGGAGAGGCAGCTATTCTAAAGAATGGACTATTATTAGCTAGTATTTGATGATCTTGTGGGCCTTCACAGCAGGTGGCAATGTTGATCAAAAGTTTAGCTAGTGTAGGCTACTCATGCAAAGTGATTCGTGTCTTGTGGAGAGTCAAGTCTTATTTGCAGTGATTGAAAAGAAGCAGCAGCTCAGGCTAAAATAAAAAGAAGCTCACAGAGGTAACAAGAACAGGTTTTTATTAATATTTTGTAATACCATATATAATGCAATTGCATATCTTTGGCGAAAATAAATCTTATAAACATTTTATCAACAGAGGTTAGCATACAAAAACCAAAAGGTGTGTCGGTCCGATAGACATGGCAGACAACTGACACAAACTGATACTGGGTTGGCAGCTTTGTCAAATGCAACAAAATGTTCATCATACCCATAGGAACTGCAACAGAAGTTTAAGAATCACATAATCAATATTCATTAACAGCTGTTGGAGCAATGAAGCAACTGGGTTTAGACTTTGGTAAGTCGGACCCCGAAAACGTTTAGGTAGCTCATCCACAGATCAACTCACTGACTCGGCGTTGCCTTTCGAGAGCAACAGAACATTTTTGTAAGTGCTACAGAAAGAATGAGTGAGATTTTTCTCTACGCGTCTCTCCATTTGTCCGTATACTTAAATGTAGGTCTGAAACTACAACAGCAGCAGCCTGGGGGACTGAGTTAGTCTGATCCGGTTTTCGGAGATATTCGGAGATATTTTCAAAACATTTCAGCATCCCATAACAATACCTGGAAGCATGAGTTATGAATGGCAGTAATTTGTCTTTTAAAGATTGTAATCTGTGATGAGATTGAGAGCTAATCTTCAATTCGTGACAACTCAAGTCATAATATCTAAACATAAACATGAGACGAATGTAAAAATGAGTCAATCCTCTTTAAAGAACTTCTACAGTACATGGGGAATGTGTCCATCTTATATTTTACACCCCGGCTGTACATCAATTTTGGCAACAAAAGGTTTCAGGATCAAAGTGAATTAACTTCTTCTATCCAGTCTAACACAAAGCAAAAACAAAACATCAAGAAAACCTGGCAGTCATGGTTAAATTGAAAATAAAAATAAAAATAAAAACACCCGCTCTAAGGACAACAAACATTGGCAAAATACTTAATCACTATAACATAGTGAAAGAAAATAAGGTGTATTGCTGTAAAATAAAACAAGGTGAAAAACAAAATACTTATTAAAAAGGAGTTCACAGAGGGAGAAAAAGAAATGTGCCTAGTCATTTGTTTCAAATAACCAGTGTTTGATAGCATTCAATAATCCCATAAATTAATGTCATAAATAAGGTGATGATTAATGAACAATAATTTGTTCTTTTTTTCACAGCTAAACAAGACCAGTGTATGCAAGTATTACTTCTGAGAACTGCAGCGCACTCTGCTGAGAACAGTTCCCGCTCCAAAGCGACAAAAATAAACCAAAAGATTGGTTAAGTCACTGTGCTGACTTGAGTCCTCTCCCATTTCCTGTTCGGATGATTCAGAAAAGTAGGGCATTGTTGCTCTAAATCACAACTGCATTGTGGCAACGGGGGGGGGGGGTTATAGGGACCACGGCCCCTTTGCAGTTTTACATCAGGGGGCACAAGAAAATGTTTGGCACTG